GAGAAGTCACAGTGACAAAATAAGCAAATAGAGTGATTTAAATTTTTAATCATTGCATAATATTAATTCCATCTCTTCACAGAAGTTACGCTCTTTAAACTCATCACAATGCAGAATGTGGTTTACACACCTCTTGTCATTTCAAAATACTTTGCATATATTTCTTTGTATCCATACATAGTAGGAAATCATTTTGTATGTTTTAAAAACATGCCTCAAAAGACAAGGGGTTATTGTCTTTATGGTATTTATTAGCAATTAATAAAGATTTGTTGATATACTAAAAATCATAAAGAATAGTGTACAATTTATTTGTATGTATCTAAAACGTATTGATTCATTACAACTGTAGAAACCATTCAAAAAGAGAAGAGAAGCAGGATATATGCTGTGGAAGACCATGAGTGACATTGTTCTATACAAAACAATACAACCCATCGCTGGCAGGCCTTGGGCATGAAGAAAGCTGCCAGTATGAAATACATGGTGCATACTATGTAGGAACTGAAAACAAATATTGACTGATAGCCAGTAATCCTATTCCAATCTTACTGCCATATGGGTTTGAAATTTGCTAACAATCTGAGTCTGGAAACTTACTCTAGATTGCCCAGATTCTCCAGAAATGAATGCAATCAGCCCACAACTCAAATTTAGTTTGTAAGACTCGAAGCAGAGAAATCACTGAGCCACAGCTTCTGACCCATGTTGACAATAAATAAACAAACAAACAAACAAAGAAAAGAATAAAAGAGTATCATTTAAAGCCACTAAGTACTTGATAATTTACTTCTATAAAAATAAAAATTATATATATCTGACAAATGATCACACTGTAAATGCATTCATATAGCAACCTTTCCCACTAAATCAAGAAATAAAACGTATTCCAAATACTAACTTCTTCACTTTCTAAATGTAAACATGATTTTTAATTTTAATAATATATTTTGGTTTTGATTTGTTTTTCTTTTCTTTTGTTGTTTTTTGAAACAGAGTCTCTCTGTGTAGCTCTGCCTGTCCTGGAACTCGCTCTGTAGACTAGCATGGCATTGAACTCACAGAGATCCACCTACCTTTGCCTTCCGAGTGCTGAGATTAAAGGCGTGCACCACCACTACCCAGATCATTTTTAAGAGAATCAGGGGTTTATTGTTGTTTTATCTTCACCACAGTGGCTGTGCCTTAATCTAATACTATTTCAGCCAGCAATTGTGTCTTTGCAATTACTGGCCTTCTCTGATAGTGGCCTGACTGTGCAGGCTGCAGCCTGGTGGGAATTCTGTTCTCACAGGCACTGACCATGTTGCTGCTGCTAAAGGTAGCTTTAACTAATCTCTATTGTTCTATTTATAAAGAAGACTCTAGATTAAAATCTGGGGTGAAAACTTGCCTGATCAATGAGGTAGAAGAGCAACTAGCTAATCTTTCTCTGTGCTGGCATCTCCAAAAGAGAGCATCCTCTGCTCCCTCAAACTATAAAAAGCCTAATCACTCCAAATCCCTCCCAACTACTTCCTGTGCATCCCTCTAACTCTTTTGGATCCTCTGATGCTCTATGACCACTTTCTCTCAACTAGTTGCTACCTCAGCCTCCTGATCCAAGGTTAATTTTATTTAATTAACACAAATTGAAACTTGGGGATCACAAAGTGATCAAATATCTTCCAACACTTTATGTTATAGTGGATCTGGTTCTGTCATTAAATGCTATTAAGCATGATTATGTATGTAGCTTTGATTATGTATGTAGCTTTACTGATACTTTTTAGTATGATTGTATCTTGTTAATTGGGCATTACCTTGTCATCAATTTCATATTTGTTTATTTTTCTTTCTGTGTCTTAAAACACATTCAACATATGTGCTTCATTTTAGATTATAAAAATAGCACCTATCAATGGCCTCAGGACTAGGAGAAATAAAACTATATCTTCATCTAGAGATTTTAATTTGTGTTCCCTTTAATCTATCAGATGTATAAGGACTTGAAAATAAGAGATTTCTGACCTAAGTGTGATGTCATGCTGATTTATATACTTTTTTATTGGTGTGGGGGGGGGTGTCGAAAATGGGTTTCTCTGTAGCTTTGGAGCCTGTCCTGAAACTCACTCTGTAGACCAAACTGGCCTCAAACTCACAGAAATCCACCTGTCTCTGCCTTCTGAGTGCTGAGATTAAAGACATGTGCCATCATGCTTGGCTTGATTTATACACTTTTAAGGACATTCCCTCCCACAGATTATAAAACAAATGCTCAAAATAAAATATAAATAATAAAACTTAATGAAAAAGAGTGGAGCAAAAAGACCTCATTAAAGAGATAATGTTTTACTTATTACACACTTCATTATCACATGTTACTGTCTTAATTATATTTACAGCCAAGGAAACCAACACTGATACTGCTCATCTCTTTCATAAGGTACATAGGTGGAAATCATTTTTTGTGTTACAAACTCTTGTTTTAAGTATTTATTTAGATATGTTTCATTGTTCTTTGCTTGTAGAATTTTCAAACATCAGCATCATTAACACATAGGTCTGTGGTTGATATATTATGCACCCCAAAACACTTATCTGTGGGTCAGAGAACAGAACAGCCACTGTATTAAACATAGAGGTTAGGCAGCGGTAGCACACACCTTTAATCCTAGCATTCTGAGACAGAGATCCAGATCTCTGTGAGTACAAGGCCACACTGGGAACAGAACCAGGCATGGTGACACATACCTTTAATCCCAGCACTTGAGATTTCATATCTTGCTTGGGAAAGACATATGCCTTTAATCCTAGGAAGTGATGGCAGAAAGCAGAAAGGTATATAAGGCACGAGGACCAGGAACTAGAGGCTTTTTGAGCTTTTAGGTTTTTGAGCAGCAGTTTAGCTGAGATCCATTTGGGTGAGGACTCAGAGGCTTCCAGTTTGAGGAAACAACATCAGCTGAGAAGTTGGCAAGGTGAAATTGGATGTGGCTTATTCTGTTTCTCTGATCTTTCAACTTTTACCCCAATATCTGGCTCCAGGTTTGTTTTTATTAATAAGACCTTTTAAGATTTGTGTTACATAGGCCCAGATAATTTGTTGCTTAAATTCTATCTTGTTTCTTTGGGGATTATTTTCACTAGCATTTGCATTTGCATTCTATCCAATATATTTCAGTCAAATAACCCTCTCTTGAAGTGCATGAACATGGAGAAAACTATTATTTGAGAATTACTGAAATAAATTATCAATTTAAAAAAGTATGGCAACATCAGCTGTCTCTCAATATTTGTTTTGAGTTGACAGCTACTGGAGTAAATTTGTGAACCTGTAAAATCTTTGAAGTGGTTAGAAAGTTGAAGGGCATAGTATAGAACAAAATATAGGGTATGTCAGCTCTCCAAGATACATACATAAGAGTGTATTTTACTTAGCCGAAACCCTAAGCCTAATTCAATTACTGTCTTCTATAGATCAAAACATACTGCCCTGGGTGTATTCCTGCCTCTCAGAAACCTATTGTGAAATTACTAAATAGATTTATTTTTGTCAGTATACTGACTTCAGTCAGAAAAGATATCTATGCTCAAAATTGAAGCATCAGGAAAGTGTTAAATCCACGGGGCGGGCCAGATCACTGCCTACTGTTTCCTCTTGGAGTTATTCCAGGTAATATTTTAATGATTTTGGATTTGACTAGCTTAAATAATTAGAAGCTGGATCCAGCACTGCAAAAATATTTTTCCAAAATGAACAATGCAAGCCTGTCATCTTTAAGAAAGAGCATTTGTAGTTATGACACACGTCGTTTTAGTAGTTACATAATAAGCTGTTGCTTTGAATTCTGCTGAAGATTTAACACCACAGCTTCACATGCCTAGTGTCAGACACCAGGGATCCCTTGTGCCTTCTGAACAAGCCTAAGATAATGAAAGTTTACAAAAGACGATAAGATGTCTCCATTGTGCTGTTTTCCCACCTGCCATTCTTCCCTGACAAGGGTAAACACAGCCCCAAATGACTTGCAGCTGTTAATTTCTTTATGAAAGAATAGCACTGTAATAAGGCCCACATTTCTTTATCATCTGAAGTTCTTATTTTCTTTTATGTATTCATATATGCATGCCCTCAAAATCCCTTATTTGGATATGCACATAAAAGAAGTATGAAAACCACTTTCACATCAAGACTGAGATTTGTAAAGCCAGCCTGCTTCCTTTTCTCTTTTGCATTTTCTTCTCCACATTGATTTAAATATCAGTTTAGGTGTCTACATGTACCTTTAAGATTCTGTGCAATTGTTCAGACATTGAAATTAAATGCAATGATAATTTTTGCTGCAAAGTAACACAACCTTTAGAGCAAAATGTGATGCATTATATTGACATAACAAATGTGGACATTAATTAAAGAGCAGCAGAATCCAGCAGAGAAGTTTGCCCTCCATCTGCTTGACCTGAGGTAATAACAATGTTCCATTAACCCAAGCTGACAGATTTTCTAGGGTTTGTCTCTGTCCCTGAAGTTGGTGCTCCTGGTATGAATAACCATATGTGTTACATCATCCAGAGCATGCCATGCAGAAGGAAATGGACTGCTTATATATTTCACTTCTTGTTTCATTTTTCACCTTGTGATGTCTGTTAGAGGTAGCCATCCACACCTTTCCCAACTTCCTGCCAATGAGATTTCTAGCCACAGCACCAAGTTGCAATATGCAGTTCCAGGTTTTGCTCAGAGGTCCATAAAGCCACATAACATCACTTAAAAAGAGCCAAGCTAGTAGATGCTTTTTGCATCACAGTCCTCAGACTTACCGAAATAAGATTTGAAGACACAAATATGATAGATACAACACAGAGGGAAAAAATACAGCATGCAGGATTTTCTAAATAATAAATTAATGGGATGGAGCAACTTGTCCCAGAATTAAAATTTAAATCTTTGATTGTGTTAACATCCAGAATGTATTAATGAACCAAAGGGACTGTTTTCCTCTTCTGTCTTATTACAGATCTAACATCAAACACTTTCCCCAAGAAGCATGCACCCGGGAGGCATTTTGCTTTGTCACAATACAGATTTCACAGCCTCTCTGATGGGAAAGCAGACTCACCCCATAGCCTCAGAGAATAACAGGATGGTGATTTGTTATGCTGCTCTACCTCCTCCCCTGGAATTATTGCCTCACTGTAGTAAGTAGCTTTCCCTCCAATTATCCAAGCTCTTCAATCCACAGAGCTTGACCCCAGGACTTCAGAAAACACTGGCTGTTTGGAGTCATTAATCCAAGATTATAAGCATGGAGGGGCACTCATGAGAAAAGGGTGAACTCATGGTTCCTGAAGAAAGACAATGGCAGATAGTGTTTCTTCAGAGCACCTCCTCGGTGTGTGTGTGTGTGTGTGTGTGTGTGTGTGTGTGTGTGTGTGTGTGTGTGTGTGTGTGTGTCTCGGGGGGACAGGGCTAGGGTGCACAAGCATTTTCATCATTCCTCTTTCCTGAAAGCATTTCCCCCTCATCTTTTCAGATGCTATAGTGGTCTGCCTAGAGCTTCCTTCAGGAGGGCAATAGCATCCATTGCTGCTGTTGTGTCAGGATGGCTCCACTTTCCTCCCAACCTTTGCCTGTACAGCAAAGTCTAGAAAACAGCAAGCCTGGTGGGACTAAGAAAGCAACTGGAGGATGATACCTGCAAGTTTCTACATAGCCAAAGTCAGAGTTGAATTGTCAGTCCCATACTCCCCGTCAACCTTGCTTTGTTTTTTATTGTAAGAAACGGCAATGGTGCATCCATGGTAGCTATGTAAGTCCCAACTACTGACCTCTATTTACATGAATTGAGCCACAGAACTTTGATACAAAATGTTGTCTGCAATGATTGATATTCTACGACCTTTCTTCTAGTTCTCTGCAGAGGCTCCTTCTAATGTGTGGAGGAAAATAAACTGCATACAACAGGCAGCTCTGCCCTCCATTGTTCTATTTATAAGATACATGTTCATGCAGGATCTTGAACTTTTTTTATGTCAACTTGATATATTTGCACATCTTTCATTATTACCAGAGATCTGATGAAATATTTCAAGGTCTTCGTGTAAGGTAAAGAAGAACTGTATCCTGAATTTGCTTAATTTTCATACTGTATTACATAGTAAATTAAAACATCCTCTTTGTTGCAGGAATTGTCCTAGAACACAAAATATTTTGGCCCCTATGTTTGGAGCTGTGATGTCAAGGTGAGCTAAATTATTCTTCAATGTACTTCAAACCCAGCAGCTTTTGCTTCCTCCTTATAAAGGTTATACTCAACACTGAAAAGCAAATGAAGGAAGGACTTAGCAACACACTCTTATTCTTCCCAGATGGTGATAAATTCAGATTCCATTAAACCTGAGGAGAGTAACCCAGCAGGTGGCTGTACTAATGGAAAATCCTGGCTTTGGAATAATGGGAATTACAACCGACAGCTCTTCTACACCACAAAAAAGATGATGTATCCTTATTGACAGTGTCGCATTTGAGTCCAGAAGGCTGATCTGATAGTTCTGTCCTGGCACAACGGAAGCTAAAAGCCCCCTGGGTGCTTTCTTGGCCACACCACTGCAATTTTTGTCATCTGAACTTTCTATTACAGTTCATTTTACAAATCACATATAAGTTGAAGAGCAAGAGTGGTGGGGGGTGAGGGGAAGAAGGAGACTTTATTTTGCCTACAGGCATACTTTTATTCTTTTTTTCTTGCTTTAAAGGACAAATAAAGGTTGACACACCACAGTATTTCAAGCCAACTCAGTATTTTCAATGCTGACATACCAGCCTAAGTTATATGAGTGATTCTATACAAGCTCTTCTTAAGATGTTTCTTCTGCTTGGAAGATGTGTGGATTGCCTAGGAGGTGTGATGCTTGATAGTCCTGCATTGATTTCCATTATTTCTCCTTTCTTTTAGCTCCATCTTTGTCTTTAAATTAAAAGACCTTATTTGATTAAGAGAAAGCCTTGGTCACATTTATCTGAGGAAGCATCTGGATGTTCAAATATTTAGAACTTCATATTTTCACCGAGCCTCCAACTCTCTGAAAATATAACAAGGAGTTATCAAAATGTTTTATTGTATTCACCATCTGCCAACACTTTAAAAAGATTATATTAAGACCAATAATCCTATTTACACTTACTCAATACAGTATATTTCCTCAAGAACTGTTAGTACTTTTTAAAACTGAACTGAGTCATTGACACTTCCTACAAAAAAAATTTTGTGTTATAAATAAATGAAGACTTTTTCAAAAGACAAGTAAAAGTTTAAGTAAACCTAAAGAGTTAATATTTAATTTTAATACATGCTTTTATTGCATCATTAAGTTAGTCATGTTTCTGTTTTGTAGTGTGTTAAGTGGGAGCTTTGCTATGGACAATTCAAGAGCTTGAATGTCTTGTTATTTATCCTGAGTTCAAAGCTTAATGTCATCCCAGCTTAACAGCAGCTCCATGGCCCAGAATGTTCAAAGCAGAAGGACAGAAGTCTCAGGACCTTTAAGAAGAGGAACTTATAGAAACAGAGACCAAGACACTACTACAGAGGGGACTTCTGCTCTTTATAATTTCTTCAATGGTCAAAATTATAAATTGGAATGTAACACTAATTGCTAAATCAGTCTTAAAATAAAAAATCCAGAGCCAAATATTAGGGTAAATGCTGAAAGGTCAGAGAGACAAAGGAACAAAGCCACTGCCACCACTTACCTCTAGGACTCCTTAGCCTGAAAAGTCCTCTACCTGAAAGAAAGGGCTTTAGTTCCTGTCTCCTCACACCTTATATATCTTTCTCTCCCAAGCCATATCACTTTTTTTCTTAGTGATGGGATTAAAGGCATGTGTGCTTCACAAGCAAAGGCATGAGATCTCAAGTGCTGGGATTAAATGTGTGCCACCACTGCCTGGATCTGTTTCTCTCCTAGACTGGGTCAGTCTCATGTAATCTAGGGTGGCTTTGAACACACAGAGATCCAGACAGATCTCTGCCTCCTGAGTGGTGGGATTAAAGGTGTGTGCTACCACTACTTGGCCTCTATATTTAATCTAGTGGCTTGTTCTGTTCTCTGATCTTTATGCAACTTTTATTAGGGTACACAGTATATCATCACATTTAAGCTAGATGCTTTCAAGTATCAAAGGTAGATGGCAAGTAGATTATAAATTGTTAGATAATTTTATAAATAAAGGTTTCATGATATATGGGTTTTAAAATTTCTAACTAATCTCTCTTATAATGTTCTGAATTAAAGAAACCCTTGAGATACTGGTGTTATAGAGTCACCCTCACCAGAAGGATAATCAATGACTTTCATGTATGGGAAAAGTGGTAAATCACAGCCAGGGAGCAACTCAGAGATAGTGCTTCTGAATAGGGCACTTATTTATAACTAAGACTGTCAGGAAAAGAAAGCACTAAATCAGAACTGTAAAGCATTTTTATCTTTATTTCAAGTGGTTCTTTAATGTTTAAAAAAACAACTTAGTAACTGGAAATGCACAGATTGGCATCATAAGAAGACTAGCAACCAGCATATAACTGGAATTTTTTTAAATCATTTTATTTCCAAAAGGTTATATATTGTTTTCACAGGACATCTTAGGTAGAGACATTAGATTAAGAATTGCCCTTCTCTGGAGCAGCCGAGTTGATTTTTCCTTAGTGTAATGAGTCTAAAATCAGAAGCATTGTCTGAAATTTTTCAGTCTTGGAAATAAAACAAAGACCACTTCATGACAAAAGAAGAAGTTTTGTTTTCATGTATTGTCCAAAAATACATGGATATTTAAGTCCAAGAAAAATCCATTTTCTACCATATAGAATCAGTTTTATAAAACAAATTAGCAAAGCTTTCCTTTGCAGGAGCAAATAACTTCATACTTGACACAAAATAATATTCACCATTCTATCAAAACAACTATAAGGAAAAAATATCCAGAGCTGGAAATATAGCAGAAAAAGCAAAGTTGAACAGCAAACACATTTTTTTCAGCTATACTGTCAAAAGACTATGCTTCTAATACCTCATGTGTGTTACTGCCTGCTAAAAACAAGCAATGGTGCAGCAGCTGATAAAACTGGGTGCCATTTCATTCTGCTCTGTTGAAACACTAACAAAGATAGCAGTGGACCCTACAGACTTAAAAGATCAATGCCTTAGATGAGCCGCTGCACCTCCAAAGCTTACAGTAAGTATTTTTCATGTGTTTCTTATAAACTGGGAAGAAATCAGGGTTTCACAAGCCTAGTGTTGAGTTCTAGTAATTTGATTTTATGGTTAACAGAGTTCAGAGAAGTACCTTCATGCAGGATTACAACAATGGATATTATATGCCATACGCTCACATATAGAGAAGGAGCATTTCAGTTCCAAGGACCTTGGAAACTTCAACCTCAGGAACCTTCTTGTATTCAGCTGAAGCTGAACACTGAAGCTCTTGTAACTTGTACTTTAGAAATCCATTATCATAGGTATGCCCTGGTGTTATTGTCCATTGTGATAGCTTTCACGTTTAATCAAACACAAGGGCACTCAAGTTTGTAAAAGAAACACTATTGATAATGGGAGACTGCAATATCTCACTATTTCCAATAGACAGATCATCTAAACAAAAACTAAACAGAAAAAATGTTGGAGCTAACAAATGTGATAACCAAATGGACCAAATAGATATTTACAGGACATTTCACTAAAACACAAAGCATACAAAATCTTCTCAGCACCTCATGGAATGCTGTGCAAAACTGATCACATACTTGGACACAAAGAAAGATACAAGAAAATTGAAATAACAGCCCATATCTTATCTGATCATCACCGATTAAAACTGGATATTAACAACAGAAACCACAGAAAGGTTATAAATGCATGGAAAGAGAATAGCTCACTACTAAATTTAATATGGGTCAAGACAGAAATTAAGAAAGAAATTAAAGACTTCCTAAAATTGAATGAAAATGAATATACAACATACTCAAACTTGCAGAACATATAAAGATGACTCTTTTTTTCTTTATATTAACAATTTTTTCTTTATTTTACATACTGACACAGTTTGCTTCCCTCTTCTCCTCCCTTCTCCCCTAATCTAATCTACCCCCTCCCCATCCACCCACTCCTCCTTGTCTCCATTCAGAAAAGGACAGGCCTCCTATGAGATTGAACAAAGCATGGCACATCAAACTGAGGCAGGACTGAGCTCCCCCCCCTGTATAAAGGCTGGGCAGGATAATACAACATGGGAAACAGGTCCCCCAAAGCCAGCAAAGGGTCAGGGACAGACCCTGATCTCACTGCTAGGAGCCTTACAAAACAGACCAAGCTACACAATTGTCACACACATGCAGAGGGCCTAGGTCTGTCACATTCTAAGAGGCAAGTTCAAACAACTAAGTGATAAAAATAAAAATCAACGGATCTCATACTAGTTACTTGGTAGCACACCTGAAAGCTCTGGAACAAAAAGAAGAAATGTAACACAAATCTTAAAAGGTCTTATCAATAAAAACAAACCCAGAGCCAGGAATTGGGGTGAATGCTGAAAGATCAGAGAAATAGAACAGGCCACAGCTAACCTCACCTCACCAACTCCATGGCAGATCTTGTTTCCTCAGACTAAAAACCTGTGTCCTCATCCAAATGGATCCCAGCTGCACTGCTGCTCAAAAGCTTAAAAGTTTAACAGACTCTAGTTCCTGGTTTTCACGCCTTATATACCTTTCTGCTTCCTGCCATCACTTCCTGGGATTAAAGACATGTGTCACCATGCCTGGCTGTTTCCAGTGTGGCTTCGAACTCACAGAGATCCATATGGATATCTGCCTCCAGAGTGCTAGGATTAAAGGTGTGTGTGCTACCATTTTCTGGCCTCTTTATCTAGTGGCTGTTCTGTTCTCTGAACCCAGATAAGTTTATTAGGATGCACAATATATTGGGGAACACAATATCACCACAAAGAAATCAGACCCCCAAGTGAGTAAAAGGAAACAAATAACCAAAATCATGGCTGAAATTAATAAAATGGAAACAAAAACAAAATAAAATAAAACACACATACACATACATACACACACAAGCAACAAATCAATGAAATAGAAAGAATCAATAATATTGTCAAACCCTTATCTCAATAAATAAAAAAGGTAGAGAAAGAATATTCAAATTAACAAAATTAGAAAAGGGGACATACCAACACACATTGAGGAAAAGCAAACAATCCTAAGGCTGTACTTTAAAAACTATATTTCACCAAACTGGAAAATATAAAATAAGTTAATAATTTTCTCAATAGGTACCATGTAAAAACTTAAATGAAGTTCAAATAAGCAATTTAAACCATCCTATAAACCTTAGTGAAATAGAAGGAATCATTGAAAGTCTTCTAACCAAAAAAATGCTTTTGAAAAAAATAATAAAAAGGTCCATGCCCAGATGACTTTAGTTAATGCCAATATTACTCAAACTATTCCACCAAACAGAAACAGAAGGAGCACTGCCCAATTAATTTTATGAAGCCATAGTTACTCTGACAGCCAAACTACATAAATATCAATGAAAGAAGAAAATTATAGACCAACTTCCCTTATAAACATAGATGCAAAACTTATCAATAAAATACTTGCATGCCAAATCAAATAATATATAGAAAAAAAATTCACCATGATGAAGTAGGCTTATTCCTAGAGATGAAGGGATGGTTCAACACATATAAATAATTAAAGGTAATCTACCATATAAAAAACCTGAAAGACAAAAAGCACAAGATTATTTTATTAGATGCATAAAAGGTCTTTTTGACAGTATCCAATACCATTCATTATAAATGTCCTGGAGAGATGAGAGATGGAAGGGTTATACTTAAGCATAATAAAGGCACTTTATAGCATGCAGGTAGCTAATATCAACCTACAGGGAGAGAAACTCAAAGCAATTCAACTAAATTAGGGAAAAGACGAGATAGGTCACTCTCTCCATACTTATTCAAAGTAGTACTTGAAATCTTAGCTAGAGCAATAAGACAACTGAAGGATATCAAGGGGATATAAACTGGAAAAGAAAAAGTTAATTATCTTTATTTGCAGATGACATA